GAATTGTTAGTCCACCGTTACTAAAATCATAGGTATTTGATGAATATATCGACATATTTTTCCCATGTGTCGACCGATCAGTTGTTTTATGAATATCTCATCTTTTTTGTAAATCATAATTCACGGTCTCAGAGCATTTATTGTTTCGACGTTTCTTCTCAAACCTTCGGTAAAGGACTTACAATTTTAGTTTTAATTTTCTACTCAAGAATTTAAATATTAAAATGTGGGAATTTTTGTGCTTATTTTTTTAAAAAACCATGGCTTAAATCTTTATATTACAGCAATCATAAAAAGGCTACAAAAACTACTTATTTAATTGAAGACAAAATTACATTCGACAAATAATAGTCTATTGAGATAAGTTCTGAAACTTTTTTCAATATAAATGTAACTAGTATTATAAATGTGATATTATTTTTAATATAAATGTTACTTTACATTTATTTATTAACTCTTTTTCCATTAGTTGTTTTAATTTAGCTTTACGTTTTATAAAATAGGTATTCTAAATTATTTAGATTGTATAGTATTACTATTCAATAAAACTTATTCGTTTAAAATCATCATATTTTTTTTTAAATTATTTTAGTACTTTGATACAAACTTATTTATTAATCTACTTAAAAATTAATTCAATTGAAGTAAAACTTATTTGTAGAACTTCATGTAATTAAAATTAACATACATTCAATGACCGCTTGTATTTTTTTTACTTTTTCGCTGGCGATATGAACAACTGTAAAGGTCTTGCCTAAAAATATTTTCCATTTTAATAACTTCAAAGATTTATAGAAACTACGAATAATATAGAAATATTTGCTATCAATAGCCTTACGTTTAGTTCACGGCACAAAAGTTTAATTTGGGTTATTATTTTCAAAGAACAGGGTAAAATATTCTTCTGATTCAGGCTTTTTTCATTCAATCAAGATTTGTACTACAATGCAACTTCAAAATGTTTATTTATCTATGCCAATTTCCTTGTTGATATCGGCACGGATACAACGTTGATGCCGGTACGCATACAAGAACAGATTTCTATTCACATACACGACGTCTAATCCCAATCGACCCGTATAAAAATGAGAGAATGACGAATCATTGGCACTCGACTCGGCCGTGACGCACTTTGCATTTGTACCGATTTACACCCTAGTCGAGCCTAAAGAAGTTTTACTTAAAAAAATAGCCGCCTACAAATTGACACAGCACTCCCCTTATACGTTGCCACGATTGTAACAAATTTTGCTGTGATAACCAAAAATGCAAATAACTTCAAAAATCATTTAACAAATATTATTTATTAACTGCATTGCTTGAAGTTTAAATAAACAAAATATTTTAATGAATTATCCATTTAAGGGCCGTTCAAGTATTACGTAAGCACTATAGGGGGGTCGGAGGGTTGTTGATTTGCTTATTTTGGGTTGACATGGGGTGCATGGGAGTCTGGATAATGATTACGTCACAGGTAGTATTTTTATTTTATTACATTAATTGCAAAATGTTTACGTAAGCATGGAGGTAGGGGGTAAGAGTTTTACTTACTTTTGTTGACAAGGGGGATGGGGGGGGGTAAATAATTGTAATAAATCTGCTTACGTAATACTTGAACGATCTCTTATGCATTATCAGTAGTTTTTTTTTATTTTCGCGCGACCCATGGTCTTACATTCGCGCCCGGGTCTCCGGCCGTTGTTGGTTTTGTGTAATGGACAAAGGGCCGCGAGACACGCCGTGGGCCCGGCGGGGTGTCTTCGCAGTCCCGACACGGTCGCTCAACGGTGGCGCCAACCGACATGCGAGATGCACACGAGCACTCCATCACCTTATATACACCTTCTTACATATATAGAAGAAATACATATATCGGCATATATACATTTATACAAATACGAGTGTGTGTGTATGTTATATCATATCGACTTATTTTCTTGCAAAGGTATCAAGGAATTGTGTTTTATATAAAAATAAATGAGATATTCCGTGTAATAAGGGAATAATCAGAGATTACTGTTTGATTTTATTTAATTTATTTACTTTTGTGGTAGGGTAGGAAGGGGCACAAAGGTCCAATGTGACTTTGAGCAATGATATTGTAAGACAAAAACCTTCTTCTCAACTAATTTTATAACATTGTTGTCATAAAAAAGAATATATGGTGCGCTATATAATTATATACAATCTAATAAAATAAAATTGTAAAGTTATACAAAGTCAAAAAATAAACAATAAAAAAACATATCAAACAAACAACAATCTGTCTATGTTCAGTAAAACTCCCAGCTGATTAATCCAAGTTTTTTAAAAATTTGTCACCTGGTCCTTTTTGCCCCTTATACGGGGTAAATTAAAACAGCCAGAAAGTACAGATCTTATTCATCTAATGTCTTATTTTTAATTTTGAAGGGATTTTACGGAATAACAGCTAAATTAATCAACAAATGCAAAATTTAAATTTTATGGGTACATATTTGACAGAGATAATACCGTATATTACCTTGATTTTGTATTTTGTCAAAAATATTCATCAGCAGACTTGGAATAACTATTTCTTTAATTTATCCCTTGTAAAATTTATTTTTTAGCTTTTAATTTACTTTTTTATTGTTTACACCTTTGCCATGGTAAAGGTTCGGTTGGTTCTTTTTACACCACCTGTGTAAGTATTTATAGAGGTTGTATTTTATGTTACGTACTTATAAAATTTATTAAAACTCTCCTTCGATTAACTCAGGTTGTTGGGTTATAATTTAACCCTTGTAGCTGTGGACTGTATTAAACATTGATTTGTTTGTATATTATGTATTTGTTGCAGTTCTAATTACAATCATTGATTTGTTACTAAGTTATAATAAAAGAAGATAAATTTATTGGTTATTTACTAAACATATTGTTTCGTGGACTTTACTTTCAGAAGTGAACAACTAGTTCAATTAAAACACTCCGCTACGCTCTACCAGGAGTAGTAACCATTCCGTGTAAAGCTTAATGCCCTGAAGGTTGTCACTTTCATGACCAATATAATAAAAAGAAAATACGTCCGAACAGAGGTTATATATAAAAAAACGGTTAAATTTAACTTAAAATTAATAAAACATTTTATAAAACAATTAAATATTAAACTTAAATAATATATTAAGGTCTCGTAAACTAAACAGCAGTGCTCACAACCATAAAAAACTAACTACAAAAAAATATTTCTGTTAAGGATTTTCAAATTTGCCATTTTTCTCCTGATAGCACGCACCGTCGTAAGAATCAAGGGGATGTCTAGTTATACATCTTCTCCCCTCTACTTTCAAATATTATTGTTAAATTTTTTTTTAACATTACTTGTTTTTGATATACCACTAGTGAACCTTTATACCTCTACCCTACTTCAAATATTATGTTTAAAAACTTTACTGATTGTGAGATTTGATGTCGGAATAAGAATTTCTAAAAATCTCTTCTACTACCAGAGGCTACTATGTATTTAATAAAACATTCACGTGAATCCATCCATCTCCCAGACACGTTCTTCTGCCTGATTCATCAACCAAATTACAAGACCTAATTCTTCATACGAAAAAGTTGAAAAAAATGTCAGGTGACACCTATCCGCCTGGTTTCTGACATGGAAGCACAGCGGGCGGTCGGATAGATAATCATATAGTTCGTTAGCTTTTATGTGAAGTATCATATATTATAATATGTTATGTTGTTCAAGGGATATTAATATTATACAAAAACATGCACAAAAGTGAGGGATGCTTCTTGTCAAAATAAGCATTTTGGGGTGTAGAAATAAATGGAGAAAGAAGGTTGAGATTTTGAAGGAAATTAATTTAAAAAATTGACGGAAAGAAAAAGATAATTAGATAGTATTTCTATCATTGCCTTTTAACGCCCAAATATCATAAATAATATTTAAATGCATATTGGAAAAAACATAATATAACATAAATTAGGAATTGATATCAATACACCATACAGATAATTTCAACAGATTCCATTTAGGCACCCTAGTTATTGTTAAAAACATATTAATAATTTTTTAAATTTCATGTGTAACATAATATGTTTCTAATTTAGTAAATAATATCAATTCACACATATCACCAAATTTAAAAATATATATAAAATAAAATTCAATCCGTCCTAATACTATCTTCAAGCTAGTTATCAAACTCTGCAGTGTTTTCCTATCAAAACTACGCATGTATTGAGAAAAAATTAATTTCCTATAATATTCATCCTCTTATTATTCTCCATCCAACTATACATCATCCCATTTAAGAAATCCCACTGTCGGAACATCTTGACGCAAAATTTTCTGCAAGATGCTCTTTTGCGGTTAAACTTATCCATTCATTGCGTTAAAATTTGTCAAAACCCACAAAGATACTACTGATACAGTTTTTTCTTGTACACTTCACCTACAACAATAGAAAAGCATTAAAGCCCAGTAGGTGATCGTGTTTTTAAATGTAACAAATTTACGCATCGGTGTTCACACCAAACGACAGATTAGAGTCATTGTTACCATCAGTTGTTAAAAAGAAGAAGGGATTGTCTATCATGATATCAGAGGATGAAATCTGGTATAAAAATGTAATAAAAAGTTGAATGTGGTCGTGGAAGTGTTGAAATATTAAAGGATAGAAAGAAGATTGTATCTTCGTAAAAGCACGGCATTAAACCAAGTATAAATCTTTAGGATTAAAAGAATTTGATTCTTTTTTGTTCATTTTTTCAATTGCCTCCTACTTTAAAGATTTTTTATCATTGCAATAATACTATTGGAGTGTCTACCGTTTGTTCATCAATTTTAACTATGATGGAAGATATGAAATCATATTCAGTATATAAATATAAAAATTCCAAGTAAAGTCCTATAGATTATATTGAAGATCAAAATTTGTTCCAGTATATTTTTCTTTCCAGGCCTCGTACCTCTTGGGTGGATCAGACAACATCTTCATCACATGTTTTACAATTTATATTGTTTTCAGGCAAATGTTTCCCCAAATGAAGTTCCGGGTGTCCGGGCTAGATGCAAAAGCGAAATACATTCTGCTTTTGGATATAGTTGCAGCAGACGATTACAGATACAAATTTCATAACAGGTTCGTCAGCGCACGAACCCCATTCTCTTTAGGATAAGAATAGAACAAATGGGTAAAGGACTAATATTTTGGTGGCAACTGGAAGATAAACTTCAAATCTCCAGGAGAAAAACTTCACAACTGTTTAGTTGATTTAGCAATAACTTTACGTATTAGCCGTCCAAATATTAAATCCTTTACCCATTTGTCTTTTAATTAGCCCCGGGTTCGTGTCGCACAAACCCCAAATTGCACAAACGTAGCTAATTTTCGGTATTCTGTTCGGTGTGTTGCAGACGCATGTTTCCTGCCTTCAAAGTGCGCGTTTCGGGCCTCGATAAAAAGTCGAAATACATTCTCCTTATGGACATTGTGGCAGCCGACGATTGCAGATATAAATTTCATAACAGGTCAGATATTTAAAAAAAATCGATTCAAAAAGCATTGGATAATGGACTGAAACCAAATTCAATTATTGCATTAATGAAATAAGATGAGCATACGTAAGATGTTAAAAAATTGATTTGGAATTAAAGGAGTAATAAGGTCGATACAAATTTACCGAAATGTGAACGATGGCAAGAAGCATGCGAGCATGTTCCAATTAATTGCTGCTTTTTTAAATCACGCTTTTATGTATATCCCAAAACAATTTTTTAACACAACGTAGCTCCAGATATTTTATATTATCCATGTATAATTTTATAATATAAGTTTTTTAATTTAGGAACCAATTCTCGGATAAAATAGAAATGTTATATGGTGATGTTATATTGCGGGTCTATGTTCGTATGAGTTGGTAGTAAAAAACAGTCAAAACGATTGCAGATATAATTGATGCAATAAAGTGTTTTGCACATAACCTAGCCAACAAAACGTATAAACATCAAATAGCAATTTTATGATAAGAGCATCTTTCTGATGTGTCCTCGATAAGACATGCGTAAAGTTAGGTTACATGTGTAAAACACTCAACAGCATATACATAGATTTTGGACAGATTGTTCCTGTCAACACATACGAATACAAATACCTAACAAAGCATTACCATAACATTTCTATTTTACCCAGAAGTTGGCTCCAGATTTTTGTTTCAAAGAAATTAGTTCATAACATTTGGAATTTTATATTTTAGACACAGATAATTACAGCATGTCCATGTGTTGAGTTAGTGTGATAATTTGCGTTTTTTTCACAAATTTCTTTGCATGAACATATATTTCATAGCATGAAAATTAGTTGTTACCAACAAGAGAAAATATGAGAAAGCTGTCTAACATTGGCATTTAACTTTTTTCCGGCAGCCGTTGGATGGTGGCCGGAAAAGCGGATCCGGAAATGCCGAAAAGAATGTACATACATCCGGATTCGCCATCGACCGGAGAGCAGTGGATGCAGAAAGTCGTTTCTTTCCACAAACTGAAGCTGACCAATAACATATCGGACAAACACGGCTTTGTAAGTACTGTGAGTTGTATCCATTTTTTGTTTATTTTGAGTTTTAGTTAATTTTTATTTTTATATTATATGTAAGAAACATCTGTGCAATTTTAAAAAATCTAGGTGATATGTATTGTTTGTTCAAGTATGACAGAATTTGAAAGGTCTGAATTGTTACTGGTAGGGATCAAATCGATTATTAAGTGTATAATGAATTTTGCATTAATCCAAGTTGAATGAACTTTTCAAAATGGTGATACGAAAGACAGAATTTGAAAGGTCTGAATTGTTTAGTAGGGATCAAATCTATCACTAATGATTAGATTGCTCCATGATTGCTCTATTATTTTTTTCTAATTTTGATTTGACTAGGTTTTTTGTATAGCGAAGAAAATGTCTTTACGCATACCATAGTTAGGTATTTTGTTTGGGTATGTTGGACTCAATGATAAACCACTACTTTTCTCATGTCCCTGTGAATTTACTAGGTGTACAATGAATTTTGCATTAATCCAAGTTCAATGAGCTTTCCAAAATCGACTTAATAGGAAATAAATTTCTTTAATTTATATCAAGTTGATCTAGGGTCTGTATTCTGATGTTAGAACCTATTGCATTAAATGTTCTTTAAAATTTTCAAAAATATTAGTTATTTTGGATAAATAATTCAGATATTGCACAAAAACAAAGAAGTCCTAGCACATGCACGGTGTATTTTTCAAGAACGCGACCCATTATTCAAAGCTTAATAAAATTCTATAACTGAACTACTTATCTATAGATCTACAATAATTTAGTATGTTCGTTAAGACCAAGAATGAAAGAACCTATGGTCATACAAAATTCTCTCAACTTAATTTTAAATCGTGTAAAACAGCTACACATACATGACTAGTAATTTTATGTCTAGAGGAAAATACTTATGTTGAGGTCCAAACTTAACAAAACACAGATTTCCGAACTAACTTTTTTTTAACAAAATATAGTTATAGTTGACATATTATTTAACATTATATCAATTACCTTATTATTTAAACTCTACGAAATTATTTTATCAACTACCCTCATTCTAGTTGATGACTCAACTAGACAACCATGAAATTAAAAACATTTCCCCGTAAAATCAATTCGTTCTGCCACTTAAAGTACTCTGAATGAAACTATCTAAATAATGATTTTGTCTAGTCTAAAGAATTTCGTGCAAAAACCACAAACTGTGAACTGAATGAATTTTCATTAATCATTTACCAATACAAGGTTGAAACATTTTGATAATTTTCAGACGACGGGACATAAACATGTTAAAACGGATGTTTTCGCTACAGGTATAGACAACGATCAACATTGGCCCGAAGACTTGAAATGATTTCGTTCGTTTTTGCTAAACACTCTTCATTTTGACAAATATTTACAAACTCTTAATTTTTGACTAGACAGGTAAATAAAGGACTGACGGCCTTTGGGAATTTTAATCTTTTTAAATGAAATTTCCCGCTTGGGAATTGTAATCGAATAAAAATTTAGACCTGGGCAAGGGAGAGTTGAATAGATTATAGGTCCTCATATATATATATATATGTATTTAGTAATTTTTATTTTTATATTACATGCATTGGCAAACAGCAGAATTTATTATTTTTAGTTAGGACATCTAGAGATTCAGGTGCCGATTTTGCTGTAAAATTAGACCAGTGTTATAGTAAGACTGTGTTACGTAGCAGAATCGGCCCCTAAATTTAATGGGGTAACTAATTTTTGAAATTTGGTGAAAATAATTTTAAACTTTATTAATTATAGCATAAATTATTTTTGCTGGTTTATGATGGCGTTGCATGTTAGAAATATTCCTGCATCGCCTCAAGTGCAGTTTCTAATACGATTCTCAAACAATAAACCATCGTCATGACAAAGGCAAAGGGTCGCTGGTTGCTATTAAAGAAAATTATAAAGTGCATACAGTTTTCTAGCATAAAAATATTATTGAAATCCATAAAAATCGCATATAATTAGTTTACGACCTCGACTATCCGTGTGCGTGCGCGCGCATAAGATAAACTAAATATGTTCTAATTGGTAAATAATAAAATGAAATCAGTGCCCGTACTTTTTATTGCGTATAATGAGCATGTTCGCAACCGTTGGCGTTGCGATTACGTAAATATATGTACGAGATAAGATAAATTATGGATTTTTACCATTATTAGAGGTGATATTGTAGCAATATCCAACAGATGACGTTCATAAACTACGTTTCAATTATGTAACCCGCGGATAAAGTTCATTATTTTCAATTTTCCAAAGTATAAATTAGGATTTTATTCCCTGTACTTATGGCAGGTTATTATTTTTTAATTTGTTGAACGAAAGGTGAATTATCATATATTATTTTGTTGGCATAGTTATGATAATATTAAATTATCTACTATTAAAAATGAATTCCTTCAGTCTATGTTTGCCTACTAATAAAGAATATGCGCATCATTATTTATATCAGCTTACAAATTATACATGTGAAAATTTAACAGCATAATATATTTTTACAATTTATGTCTTCTGAAGCAATTAGTTCACAAATCCTTGAAAAGATTGTCGAAAAGAAACATTGAGTGATACATCAGTTACTAGTCATGTGTAGCTGTTCTGGACCAATCTGGACCTACGGAATTGAGCTCTGGGGATGTGCTTATAATTCAAATATAGCTATAATGCAGAGAACTCAGTCAAAAATTTTACGTACAATACTTAATTCTCCGTGGTACGTGACAAATGAAACCATTCACAGCGATCTCAACATGAAAACAAACGTAAACTAGAATCACATTCAAACCCATCAATAGGCGACATTACCCAACCATTTGGCGTAAGAAGACTGTAACGTCAATGGGTTTTAGATTTAGTCTTAGATTAGCTTCAACATAACTTTATCTTTGCAATTGCTAAACTAAGAAGATCTCACTAGAGTTTTCATAAACATCGCTCTCAAATATTGTCAATTTAGCTTATAGGAATCCTTATGTATTTCTGATTGCTGAATAAAATAGATTTAAAAAAAATGTGTAGCTGTTCTACACAATTTAAAATTCCGAAACAAATAATGATTTCCATTTTATTAAATTATCTCCGTGTTAATCGAATCCTCTCGAGCGCCTTCACACATCCTTGTTTCCGACAGATGAAATTAACAAAGTCGCTCTTACGGTGACGTCTACCTACGACGATGGTAGTCATAAGTTATTATTTCCATATTTAACCTGCAAACACAGATCAATCAGCGGCAGTGATTGTTTGCTCGTCGTGTTAAAAGCATCCGTAACTTTGCCATCGAGAGGGCCCGAAAAAACATACAAACGTACTGGGTAATACTCAAACTCGTATACGAAGTAAATTGTAATATATATATACAAATATATGTATGTGTGTATACATATGTGTACTATATGTAGGTACAGGTGCGTGTGCGGTGAAATCAGGAGGGAGATCGAAAAAACATGGGTCAACATCGACGTACGAGTGGTTAGGATGAAATGCGCTTCCTAATGCAGATGGCAAACATTGACGGTAGTGGTCGTTTAAGATATTATTATGTCATACATTTTATGAAATTGATAAAATTTCATCTATTATCCAGAACTATTACACAAAACTATACTTCGAAATATTCCTTATATTAAAAAAATAATGCAGTGGTGTAAAATCTTGCCAAAACTTAAAAACAGCACAAAATGGAAAACATACACAAAAATATAGATTTATAGAGTAATAAGCGTGGTTTACGTTCACCATAAAAGAAAAAATCAACTAGTTATTGATTTCAAAAAAATTAAATTAACTCTCTATATGTATTTAGAATTAATTTTTATAATTCAACTACTTCTCCTAGGCCTATAATATCTCAAACAGTTCGGCTTGACTATCAACTCTATCACCATGCAAAGTTTCATCAAAATCCCAGAAGAGTAAATCTGAGGTTGCCCTTGTTAGCTAAGAAATATGTGCTATCAAACTTGATAACTTCAATTTGCATTAGAGAAAAACTATTTTTGTGAGCATCCAAATGATATGTAGACAATTCTATCCCTTAAAATTTTTCTATTTGTATCTAAAATCAGAGCAAGTGTGGTAAATCTACACAAAACCAATCCGGAAACAAGAAACCTAGTTACAAATGGCGCCGCCGATCGCGTTCAAATTTACTTTGCAACCTAATACTCTGGAAATGTCAACAATGTGGCATTAAAGCTTCTTGAAAACGATCACATCGGGGTGTTTATTTTTTAAAAATTGATTAATGTTCTATCAACATCGGAACAATTTAAAATGGGTGATAAAAAGGAGGAAATGACTTTATAGACTTTTTATTGAATTTAATTAATTAGGTAGCGAATGTAACATACAGGATAATAAAATTGGAGTTGGTTTTTAATACCTTGAAGATTATGAGCTTTCATAAAGATAAAATGATAGCTTTGAATTTGTACTATATTCTGATAAAACCATTTATTTCGTGGTAACTGTTATGAGAATAGGAGAGCTGGTAAAAAAAAAACGGTAAGACTGAATTCTGTAAACATAGGAGGGATCCAACATTATGCAAAGTTAACTCAAAAGACACATGCATTCTTACTCAGATACTATTCGATTTTTTTTTTTAAGTATATTTATTATTACCCCATTTATAGATATGTCGTATGAACCAATAAACTAAAAATTAAATGAAGATATAAAAATCGTTTTAGGTTTTAGCGGGAGTAAATCTCTTCTTGAATAACGTGTTTTTTTATTAGTGTGATTATTACCTTTGTTGCAAATATTATTTCATTTATCATTTATTCTAAACTTAAATTTTCTTATGAGTAAAACAATGAACAGAGACTCAACTATCCCAAGACCACACATATTTGTTTGACTATTTCGGCAATTAACTCAATGCATAAGGAAAGACTGGAAGCCGGCCATCGAGTGTACATGATATCGTTTTATGTGTCCAGATCACGCAAACCAGCCCACACAAACAGAGACAGATGTTTATTAAAAAACGTTTATATATCTTCACCTTAG